GTTGTGCAACAAAATATTAAGTTAAGGGTACCATCATTTTTGTCCAGGCCTGTTTCAAGAGTTTATTTTCTAAAACAATTCTGTTAAACCACAGTTCAAAAGCAATGTCTGATTTTCATCGGTTCATTCTCATAGAATTTTTATTCAATATTACTTTTGTCAGATTCAAGTTATTTCTGTGACCATTGTGGGTTTTTCTTTCATTAATTGAGGGGTACGAACAATTTTGTCCACGTGCGTAATAGCAAATCATAGCAGAGTGTAACTGTAAAGTAGAAGCAAATATAACCAGTTAAATAGACACACTTTTTGGAGTCTGTAGTGGATGTGTGGCAAAGCAGTCATTTATTAATGTGGATCCTGGTAAAGTCCTTGGTCTTTGGTTAATGTTACAGTACTTGAAATATTTCTTTTTAACTGATGTTAACTAAGGTGAAAAGATTCAAGCTGTGTTTGGTTCAGAAATATCCATGTTTGCTGAGTGTAAAGACTCACTGAATGTGCTGTGTCATTGGTTTCTACATGATGTGAGCATTTCTCAGGAAATTGTAGTCAATACAGTACGATATGTTTCAAAAACTTTGCACCTGTGGCTTTCTTTATAAAACGCGTAGGATCTTAATTATTAAGGCTCCCTAAACAACACTTTACTTCTGCTGTACAAAGACTAATTCTTTCTTGTCCATGGTTTATACAATGTGTGTTACCTACATCTTTGTGAGCCAGCCCCCTCTCCCTGCATCAGGTGAGTGCCAATGGTAATGTGCTGCGCAGTGAGATCGTGGGATCCATCAAGATGAGAGTGTTCCTATCTGGCATGCCGGAGCTGAGGCTGGGCCTCAACGACAAAGTCCTCTTTGAGAACACTGGCCGTGAGTACAAATAAGAAAAGGAGCCATGTGAAGTTTGACAGCTACAGCTTGTTCTTAAATTATGTCTTTTAAATGTTTATTAACCTCTTAATACCACTTTTCTCCTCTGTCCCTGTCTCATTTACCTCTCTTTGTCTCCACTCACTTCATTGTCTTCAGGAGGAAAGAGTAAGTCAGTGGAACTGGAGGATGTGAAGTTCCACCAGTGTGTCCGACTGTCGCGCTTTGAAAATGACCGCACCATCTCCTTTATTCCACCTGACGGAGAGTTTGAGCTCATGTCCTATCGTCTCAACACACACGTACGTTGGCAGCAACAACTAACACTACAGTGCATGCACAGTCACAGTTCATTTTCAAAATGATGCTTTTGTGTAGATCTCATCCACAGAAGTGCCTGCTGTCAAACATCTGAACTGCCTTCAGACATAGTGTCATTTGATTGTGACTCATAAATCGTTCCCTGCAAAGAGACAATGTGTATGTTGTACATGTCTGTGCTGATGCATTGGTCATATCCTTGTTTTTTGATTGCAAAGTTGTCTGACAGCTTCAGACAGCAGCACAGCGTTTATTAACAACAGCTATGCAGTGAGGCCATATGTACTGACATTTAAAATAAAATCTACGTTAGAGTAGAAAGAAAGTTTTCATCGGAAGTGTCTTGCCACACTCTGACTATAATGTCACGAGCTCAGGTCACCGAGGGGAAAGGAAGTGTGTGTGTGTGTGTGTGTGAGATGACACAGTTTGGGGGATCAAGGGATCGAACCACCAACCTTGCGATTAGAGGACAACCACGCTACCACCTGAGCCACAGCCGCCCGTATTTATTCATCTATTATTTGTATTTGACTGTCATCCACAGCCATGAGCATTACACTTATTTAATCCTCCTGTGGGTGTTAAATCAGTGTGTTAAAATATCTGTATATTGCTCATCGACACACAATCACACTTTGATTATTAATGGCCAAAGAAAAAGGCAGAGCCCACCTTTATCGCCAAGTGGCCATGAATGCTCTCAGCTTCTCTTTCTGTATTACACCCCCTGATTCCATACAGACACATAAGTTAGTACTGATGTTGGTGGATTGCAGTTTTAGAAAGGATATGTCAACACCACAGATGTGCCATGGTACCACATGGGATTATATTTTTTCTTTATGGATAAATTTGGAATAATCTTTAAAAAGTAATTAACACGGTACAACACTACATATTTTTTATAATTTGCTGCAAGGTGGCGCGGTGGTTGGCATCGTTACCTCACAGCAAGAAGGTCGTCGTTCGCGTCCCCGTGAGGACACCTGGTATCTTTCTGCGTGGAGTTTGCATGTTCTCCCCGTGCAGGGTGGGTTCTCTCCAGGTTCTCCGGCTTCCTCCCGAAAGGTCCAAAAACATGTTGAGGTTAATTGGTGATTCTAAATTGTCCATAGGTGTGAAGGTGAGTGTGCTTGGTTGTCTGTCTCTAAGTGTAGCCCTGTGATAAACTGGCGGCCTGTCCAGGGTGTCTCCTGCCTTCGTCCTAGGGCAGCTGGGATAGGCTCCAGCCCCCCCGCGACCCTAGTGAGGATTAGATGATGTACAGATAATAGATGGATGGATGGCATTAGTATCTGCAATATGTAATATTTATAATATTCTTTCTTATTTACAATATTTGTTATTATGGTTATTCCTACTGTGTCTGACATTTTCAGGTCAAACCACTAATATGGATTGAATCGGTCATTGAAAAACATTCACACAGCAGAATTGAGTACATGATCAAGGTAATGTACCAGATCTTCTCTTCATGGGGTCATGTAGAATATACCATGTTTTATTAATTGTTTTGATTAAATGTTAGGTTTTGATGGCCTTAATAATAAAAATAATTGTAACAATTCTGCTGCCTGTATACTATTTTGGGTTTCTTGTCTTAGCCTCTAATATTACTTGTCATCTTTCCTGTCTTCAGATGGTATTTGTTATCATGTATACTTGTTTGAATGGTTCTTAACAGTTTTTTTTAAGTGCTTTGTAATATTGGTAAGAGTACTGCTGTATGAGTTGAGGTAATTGTTATTAAAGCTATTTATGTGTACATACAATTTATTTCTATCCATCTCTCTGCTCTCCACTCCTCCCAACAGGCCAAAAGCCAGTTCAAGAGGAGGTCTACAGCTAACAATGTAGAGATCCACATCCCAGTCCCCACTGATGCTGACTCGCCTAAATTTAAGACTACAGTGGGCAGTGTCAAGTGGATCCCAGAGAACAGTGAGATAGTGTGGTCCATCAAGTCCTTCCCTGTAGGTGAACAGCACAGCATACTTTTAATTCACAATCAATACATTAAAGTGTAATGTTGCACCATGGTAGTGTTGTGCATTGTTTGATTTTGTACATATAGATGAGAGAATTATGTGATGTATCATTTGGGCTCATAAAGTGGACATGCTTCCAGTGAAGTAAAGACTACATGGCGTCTGGATATGTTCGCTTTTTTTTACTGAGCGTTAAGCATACTGTAAACCCAGCAAACATGTTCTGACACAGATCTCCACTGTTTCCTGGTGAATTTCAGGGTGGTAAAGAATATCTCATGAGGGCCCACTTTGGCCTGCCCAGTGTGGAAGCAGAGGATAAAGAAGGCAAGCCTCCGATTAGCGTCAAGTTTGAGATTCCCTACTTCACCACCTCTGGCATCCAGGTAGGGTACAGTAAAGGCATATCTTTTGTCTGTGGCTGAGTGTTGAAGAGTGGTGAAACCTTCTCCAATGTTGCAGGAGTCACAATGGTGTTTGTGCAAATTGAGTGTATTTGACTGCACTGATCAGCCACAACATTTAAATCACCTATCTATTATTGTGTAGGTCCCCCTTGGGCCCCCAAAACAATTCTGACCCAACAGGGCATGGACATGAGACCTCTGTGGTGTTCTGGGGTTTGTGGCACTGGGATGTAGACAGCAGATTCCCTGAGTCCTCTGGGTAGCAGGGAATGATGCTTATTCTGGTGCATCATATGGATACTGGATCAGATTGGGATTTGAAGAGTTTGACGGCTGGGTCAATGCCTTAGGCCCTTTGTCATGTACCTTACCTTGTTCCACGGCAGTTCTTGCAGTGTGGCAGGGCCCATTGTCCTACTGGGGGAGGCCGCTACCAGCCAGTGAATGCCGTTGCCATAGGGGGGCATGCTACAACAATGTTTTGGTGGGTGGTATATGTCAAAGGAACATGTATAACACATGGCAGGACCAAAAGTTTTCTAGCAGAACATTGTACTCTAGCAACATGATCAATGTTATTCAGTTCAGTTCATTTTGGTATATATGCTGTGACATGTGCAGCCACAGGGAGGCACTGCTGTCAAAGAAATGGAGGCAGAAGCAGCATGTCAGGTGTGGGAAACCATTCCTGAACTGACTTGTAATCTGTAATGAACTCTGATAGAAACATTCCAGAAAAAACAATAATAATCAAAGACTAGTTACTGCGACTGCTACTGTCTATTTTAAACACCAGCTTAATACCAACATTTACAAAGGGTTAGAGACGAGATACATTTAACACAACAGCTGTGACGTGTAAATCCAGTTTTACAAATTTTTAGTTTTGTGGGCACATATGACAGAATGCATTTTGAAGAAGTCATGAAAAGAGCATGAATGAGAGTACGTCAAAAAGTTCTCAGCTTCACAAAAAACGTCAGCAGAAAGATTGTTCTTGCATTTTTTTTCAACATAGTCTCCTTTATACGGAGCCCCTGAAGGGACAGGGTGGGGGGAAAAAACTTTGCGAGATCTCGCAAAATTTTCTTTCCTCCGTCAGTGAACCGGAAGCAAAACAGACACACTTTAAAAAAAAAAACTTTATTGAAAGCAGACACACAATGACCGAGGAGCATGCACATCCGTGGGGGAAGTTTATTGATTTTTATTTTGGAATTGGCCTGACATATAAAGATATTAAATCCATTCTTGGCCGCAGACATGGCTTTGACATAAGTGAGAGACATCTGAAAAGAATACTCAGGGCGACGGGACTTTGTCGTCGTAACGGGTACTGTGATCTTGCGGTCCTGGTCGAATGCACGGATGATGTGTATGCGCCTGTGTCTGTTCTTCTTCCGGTTCACTGACGAAGGAAAAAGAAAAGTATTGCGAGATCCCACAAAAGTATTGCGGGATCTCGCAAAAGTTTTTTTCCCCCCTCCATGTAGTTTTTTTCCCCTCCGTGTCCCTTTAGGGGCTCCGTACCTTTAACTTTGATGCATTTGGTCGATGTTCAAACTTCTTGAACTACATCTGAGCCTCCAGATTCTCTTCAACATGGATGACTTCATCATCAGTCTGAAAATGGCAACTTTGTGAGTAGGCCTTCAGTTTGAGAAACAGAAGTCAGATGGTGTCAGGTCAGGGGAATAAGGTGCATGGAGCAACAGTATAAAGCCACATTTGCAGAATCACATTATTTTTGAAACAGACAATGCTACTTCAGTAAGTAGACGCCTACTCACCATGGATCTTGAACTGCTGATCAATCCATCCGACTCAGACCTTCCCTTCCAGTCATAACATTTCCAGTCAGACCTCTCTTCTTTAAACTTCTCTCCCTAAAGCTGCCTGTGCTACATGGTGTGAATTTGATGACCTCCAAGCAAGCCCACAAGGCCTCGGAATAGCTGTTACCACACATATAGACATGGCAACCAGCATTCTCAGCTGCCTCCATTACTTTCAAATCCAGACAGCCCTCCACAGTGCACCTGGCAGACGTTTCTACCACATCAGACCTCTCCAAGACTTAACAACAATAAGGGACCTGACTGTGGCTTTCCTGCAGACTGCTCTGAGGAGGAAAGACATTCCCGATAGCCACTCTGACATGAAAAAAGGGTTGTTTCTGCTGTATTCAGCATCCACTTGAGCCTCAACAAACTCAGAGCCAATCATGCTTTCAGCATATTCACCTGAGCCATCCACCTCCACAGTCATCACCTATAGCATCACAGTGCTGCCTACTCCTCCAGGCCATGGCCAGCATTGCTAGCTAGCTGGTGGGGGCCAAGTTGTATTCCCCTCTGTGCCTGCTCCCTCTGTGTCTAAACTTTCTTATCTCATCACATCATTCTTTTCATCCCTGTGTTAGCAGGCTTCACACAATTCCCATGCACACACATCCTTTCATCCCATCATCCATACTTCTGCATTTCCTTCCTGAATACATATATTTAGCCCAGCTCCTTCACCCATCCCTTACCAACATCAGTCAGCCTAGGGAACTACAGACTGTCCAAGGTCTAATGCAGCTTAGTTAACCACTTCGTTCCTGGTCAAAAGACTTTACTTCAACAGAATTTGCACTAGCTTTTTCATTCTAGAGAGATGTTACCTGTTCTGCCTACCCTGACCGATGACCAGAATTAGACAACTACCTCTCATTCGAGATATGGCCCTATGCTTCGGAGAGACAGGCTTATACATATGTGGACAAAATTGTTGGTACCCCTCGGTTAATGAAAGAAAAACCCACAATGGTCACAGAAATAATTTGAATCTGACAAAAGTAATAATAAATAAAAATTCTATGAAAATTAACTGATGAAAACCAGACATTGCTTTTGAATTGTGATTTAACAGAATTATTTTAGAAAATAAACTCATGTAACAGGCCTGGACAAAAATGATGGTACCCTTAACTTAATATTTTGTTGCACAACCTTTTGAGGCAATCACTGCAATCAAACGATTTCTGTTACTGTCAATGAGACTTGTGCACCTCTCAGCAGGTATTTTGGCCCACTCCTCATCAGCAGACTGCTCCAGTTGTCTCAGGTTTGAAGGGTGCCTTCTCCAAATGGCATGTTTGGGGGTTTTCGGTTCCTTCCCACTGTTGCGGACTGCTTGCAGACTGCTGAAGCTTATAGGGAATCCAAATGTTTTGGATTGCTGGGTGTTTCTGTCTCTGCCTTTGTGAAGCGCTATGAGATGACTGTTGTTGTAAATATGCGCTATACAAATAAAATTGAATTGAATTGAATTTAAATGTTTCAGCTCCCTCCATAGATGTTCAATAGGATTTAGATCAGGGCTCACAGAAGGCCACTTCAGAATAGTCCAGTGTTTTCCTATTAGCCATTCTTGGGTGTTTGTAGCTGTGTGTTTTGGTTCATTATCCTGTTGCAAGACCCATGACCTGTGACTGAGACCACGCTTTCTGACACTGGGCAGCACATTTCTCTCTAGAATACCTTGATAGTCTTGAGATTTCATTGAACCCTGCACAGATTCAAGACACCTTGTGCCAGATGCAGCAAAGCAGCCCCAGAACATAACAGAGCCTCCTCCATGTTTCACAGTAGGGACAGTGTTATTTTTTTCTTTCTTTTTTTTTTTATGCTTCATTTTTGCATCTGTGAACATAGAGCTGATGTGCCTTGCCAAAAAGTTCCAGTTTTATCTCGTCTGTCCAGAGGACATTCTCCCAGAAGCTTTGTGGCTTGTCAACATGCAGTTTAGCAAATTCCAGTCTGGCTTTTTTATGATTTGTTTTCAACAATGGTGTCCTCCTTGGTCGTCTCCCATGAAGTCCACTTTGGCTCAAACAATGACGGATGGAGCGATCTGACACTGATGTACCTTGACCTTGGAGTTCATCTTTAATGTCTTTAGAGTTTGTTCTGGGCTCTTTTGTTTTCATTCGTATTCTCTGTCTCTTCGATTTGTCATCAATTTTCCTCCTGCAGCCACGTCCAGGGAGGTTGGCTACAGTCCCATGGATGTTAAATTTCTGAATTATATGTGCAACTGTAGTCACAGGAACATCAAGCTGCTTGGAGATGGTCTTATAGCCTTTACCTTTAATACGCTTGTCTATAATTTTCTTTCTAATCTCCTGAGACAACTCTCTCCTTCACTTACTCTGGTCCATGTTTAGTATGGTACACACCATGTCAGCAAACAACACAGTGACTAATTGTAACCCTATAAATAAGCTGACTTTACAAGTTTGTAGACACCTGTGATGCTAATTAGAGGACACACCTTGATTGAACATGTCCCTATGGTCACATTATTTTCAGTCTTTCCTAGGGGTACCATCATTTATGTCCAGATCTGTTTCATGAGTTTACTTTTTAAATAATTCTGTTGAACCATGTTTCAAAAGTAATGTCTGATTTTCATTGCTTAATTTTCATTGAATTTTTATTTATTATTACTTTTGTCAGATTCAAGTTATTTCTGTGACCGTTGAGGATTTTTCTTTCATTAACTGAGGGGTACCAACAATTTTGTCCACATGTGTACAATTATCAAATAGTTTTTGCTACACGGGCAGCGGGGCATCTACAGCAGTTTAACCAGGGGGCTTTTTGGGTTCCCCTTGACTCAGAACTTTGTTGCAGCTCAGGCATTTCTGTCCTGTGAGTTATGTGGAGCACCTTCACATTTAACTTCAGTATGCACAATCATCACTCCCCTCTACTTACACCCTCTTCCTCAATGCCCAGGTATTTAGCTGCCTATCTCCCACTGCACCACCTCCTCCCATCATTCCTAAACCCATCGACAGGTCTGTCAGTTATAGCGTATACTGGAACTATGCTTTGTAGTTCAGTTGCACTAGTTAATTTAGGGGCACTACCTCAGTTTATTGAGGAATTATTTTAAATGAAATATCAAAGAGACTTCATTTGAAATTACGT